TATTATCGCATGATGTCGAATGCTTCGCCGAGGTGTTGGACGTGTGCCTCCGGCATTTTTTTAATCCAAACGACATCACTTGGTAAGAGAATATTCCTTGCTCTATAACGAAGGAGGTTTTCTCTTGATCACTCGGATCCATCCTGATTTGGTTGTACCCTGAGAAGGCATCCATAAAACTGAGGAGCTCATGTCCAACCGTGGCGTTGACTATGAGGTCGATCCATGGGAGGGGAAAACTGTCCTTGGGACATGCCCTGTTCAATTCGGTGAAGTCGATGCAAAGTCATCATTTGCCATTGACCTTCTTTACAAGGACAACATTGGCTAATCAGGTTGGGTAATCGACTTTTCGATTGCTATGGCTCGCAACAATTTAGCCGTCTCTTCGTTGATTGCCTTTTTGCCGGTCTGGTGCAAAGCTTCTTCTTTTCTATCGCACCGACTTGCAGCTCGTATCGACGCTGAGATGGTGAATGATCACAGCGGGATCTATCCCTTTCATATCTTCCTGCCTCCATGCAAAAACATCGATGTTCGTTTTCAGGAATGTGATGAGCTTCTCTTTGATAGCTGAGAGTAGCATGGAACCTACGAAGACTACGTGCTCGGTGTCCTCGTCTAGCTGCACTAGCTTTAGCTGTTCAGTGGGGGTTGGTCGGGTTCCTAGTTTATCCCTCATATCCAGGTCTTCCATGTGTACCAACTACACCTCCCTTTGCCTCATCGATGCCACGTCACATTCTCTGGTGAGGTGCTGATCTCCTCTAACCATACCAATCCCATTCTTGGTTGGGAATTATATCACCAGATGGTAGACCGAAGGTATCGCCTTGATGGCATTAAGANGGAAAACTGTCCTTGGGACATGCCCTGTTCAATTCGGTGAAGTCGATGCAAAGTCGTCATTTGTCGTTGACCTTCTTTACAAGGACAACATTGGCTAATCAGGTTGGGTAATCGAATTTCCGATTGCTATGGCTCGCAACAATTTAGTCGTCTCTTCGTTGATTGCCTTTTTGCCGGTCTGGTGCAAAGCTTCTTCTTTTCTATCGCACCGACTTGCAGCTCATATCGACGCTGAGATGGTGAATGATCACAGCGGGATCTATCCCTTTCATATCCTCCTGCCTCCATGCAAAAACATCGATGTTAGTTTTCAGGAATGTGATGAGCTTCTCTTTGATAGCTGAGAATAGCATGGAACCTACGAATAGCATGGAACCTACAAAGACTACGTGCTCGGGGTCCTCGTCTAGCTGCACTAGCTCTAGCTGTTCAGTGGGGGTTGGTCGGGGTTCCTAGTTTATCCCTCATATCCAGGTCTTCCATGTGTACCAACTACACCTCCCTTTGCCTCATCGATGCCACGTAACATTCTCTAGTGAGGTGCTGATCTCCTCTAACCATACCAATCCCATTCTCGATTGGGAATTATATCACCAGATGGTAGACCGAAGGTATCGCCTTGATGGCATTAAGATATGGTGTTCCTAATAGAGCGTTGTAGGCAGAGGGCGCGTCGACTACCAGGAATTGAACAGTGGTCATGACTTGGCAAGGCTGGTCTCCTATGATGAGTATGAGCTGAATGGATCCGATAGGGAGGACTTTTTCACTCAAAAATCCTAAGAGGTGGGTTTTCACGGGCTCGAGCTTTGATCTCTCTATTTCGAGTTGATCAAATGCAGAAAGGAAAATAATATCTGCTGAGCTGCCGTTGTCAATGAGCACTCGACACACGGCTTTGTTTGCGATTATTTCCTTTATGACCAGGGGGTCGTCATGTGGGTGTTGGCACCCCTCTAAATTCGTGTCGAAAAATGTGATCTCCGTATCTTGACAGTGGTGCTTTGCTGACGGCTTGGACTTCATCAAAATCTTCTGATCGGATTTTCCTGGCGTGTGCCTTCCTTGTTGAGCTAGACTCTCCGCCCCTTGTAAATCCCCCGGAGATGACTCGAATTTCACCGAGGGCTTGTTGGTGCTGTTGAGGGGGTTCTGCGGCAGCTCGATCTTCTCGGCCTTGATTATTCCAAGCTTTTCCATTTACCGCCATGTAGTGGCGTAGGAGTCCCTTCTAGATCAGATATTTTATCTCTTTCTTGAGTTATATGTAGTCATTCGTCTCGTGGCTGGTGTTACTTAATGGCGTCCCCGCCTGCTGGGATCAGATTTCATTCGCGGTGGCCACCGGATGAACCTCTCGTTTTGGACTTGAGTGATCGAGGTAACAAGGGGTGGGAGTCGAGCTGGAGCATACCGTAGCTGCAGCTCCTATAGAGAAGGTCCTAGTCGATCTCGGACATTTTCTCTCCTTTTAGGGGAAGGCTCTCTCCCTCTTCTCAGGGATCGGTCTCTTCTTGGGGACCGGTCGCGCCTCTTCTATCTCTTGGGGCTATAGTCCCTCTTCTTCTTGTCCCCTTTCGGCGTTGCCAAATTTTCTTTCAGGCGGGGAGTTTCTTCGCCATTAATGTACTTTTCAGCCTTCGCTAACACCTCGCCCATAGTAGCCTGAGGGTTCTTAGCGATCGAGAAGAGAAGGTCTTTGGACTACACTCTGAGTCCTGACATGAAGGTGATTAACGCGAATTTATCATCCACGCTTTCCACCTTCAGGCATTCCTGGTTGAAGCGTTGCACGTAACCTCTGAGGGACTCATTTGGTCCCTATTTGACGCTCAGTAGGTGGTAGGATGGCTTTTTGTACGTTCTTACTCTGATGAAATGTGAGATGAACTGTATTGACAGTTCCCTGAAGGAAGAGATTGATGTCGGTTGTTACCTATTGAACCAGACTATTGTCGATCCCTTCAAAAAAATGGCAAAAGCTCGACAACGAATCAGGTCTGGATACCCCTAGAGTTTCATCTGATTCTTGTAGGAGTTTAAATGGTCGATTGGGTCTTTGGTCTCGTCGAATGCCTCTATTGACGGCATCCAGAAATTCTGAGGGAGAGGGAAATGGAGGACCTCGGGTGTAAATGGTGACTTAGTTTGCTGGACTAGGACATCCATGGTCGTCAGGGGCCTTTCCTTTAATTACCTCTTTCACGCTGCCCCAGTTCCCATTGGAGTTCATGGATTCTTTACTCCCACATGCGATCATCAGTTTCGAATGGGGGATGAGGTCTGTCCTGTCGAAAGGCAGCTGTAGCTCGACCATGAGCTTCATCCTTCGATGGTTTTCTCTAGAGTGGCTGTGCTTGTGGAGCTCTGTGACCCCATTCGGTGGAGCTTGGCGTTCCTGAAGAGGAGTGTTGTGACCTATTGGCGGTGGAGGGGGCTTTTGTTGAGCTGGTGGGAATGGAGGGAGCTGGTGAGTCTGTATCCATTCCAACAGCTCCTAGTTCTGTTTCATAAGTTGCATCGTGGTTTGGTAAAAGGTATCCATCTCTTTGAGAGGGGGGAGGTTTGTTGCCGTGAAGTGGTTTTTGGCGTCCACTTCGGGAATCAGGGGATTCTCTGGTAGGTTTCTGGTGGACTTGAGGGTTGGCAGGAGCTTTACTCATATTTCGAATTGAAACTATCAAATAGAAATCAGATAAGGAAGTGATGAAAATTGTTCCCACAGACGGCGCCAACTGATAGAGTCTCGAAAATTATTGCCCAAGCCTAAGGAATGGAGGATTTTAAATTCGCTGTTAGAGTAGGTTCAATAGATTTGGGTTTTCTAATCTGATTTAGTACAAAGAAGATAAGTGGTTTGCCTCAACCAATAGACCGAGGGTACATCCACTATAAGGGAGTCTCTTGTTCCCATTTGTTGTGTATAGAGTTTTTGTTGAATGTAATCGAATTACAGACGCAAGATTCACAAGGAGAGTGGGTTTGATCACAGAGTTTTCTATCTGATTTTCGAAAGAGGAACCTCCTTATTCTTTGTAAGGCACTGTTCTTTATATATGGGTCGTCTCTCTTAGGGTTCATAATGGCATCTCCTGCCTTTTTTGTTGATCCTGTGGGGACCTCCTGTTCTTGTCCTGCAAAAGTCTTTCTTCGTCGGTCCTCCAGTACCCATGATCTCTGGGACCTCAAGCTCCACCATCTTCTGTGTCCGGGAATGTGCAACTGCAGCTGTTTCAGAGATGGTCCCCTTGTTCTTTGGGTGTGTGGCGTATCTGGGCTGTTTAGGGGTGAATGATTCGTTTCTTCTTTGGGCTACTGTCAGGCTGGCCCTTGATTGAGCCTGGGCTAAACTTTTATCTTTCTGATTTTTACTGGATTTTCTTTGATTTCGCTGGGCTAATCCAGGACTTTCTTTCTTGGTCGTAGGACCTTTTGACCTATAATCTTGGCAGCCCATGCTCAAAATTCCACCATCATCAAATAGTAACTCAAGTGGTAACACGGACGACGAATTAAAAATTCAGATATCTTGGTTTCGAATCTTGACAATCTTTAAAGTCAAATCATAAAAAATTTATTCCTCGTATATATCCTAATTTCAACGTGAATGGTTTATCTTTGACAAATCAAAAAAAAAATTAGTCAAGATATACATAAACAAATCTAAACATTCCTCACCGTCGAAAAAAAAAAATAGCTAGGTCTTGTAAACAATTGGTTCTTATATTTAGCTTCTAACTTGTAATTTATAAAAAAAAATTGTCACTTGAATGTTTTTGACTCAATTTCAACCCCAGAATGTACCAAAAATAATACAATGACCCCCACGGTCCCCACACGCATGCAGAGCACCTAAATAAAGCAACCCCAACAAACAACTAACTCCTCACCGCCTTTATAACCCAACAATAATCTGTTCTATACTCTCATAACATCACTTCCTCGATCTCTCTTCTCTCGTTTTCCGCACCACGCCACCACATCTGTGCCCTCTCCTTTCTCTTGCTTCCCCCACTCTCTCTCTGGTCGATTCTGGTTATGTTTCAGATTATCCGTTACAGAATAACATCTGGGTACCATGTAAACTCCATTTGAATCGATCTTTGGGTTGGTGAGAGAGAGAACGAGAGGGAACAACAAAAAAGGGGGACATGGAGATTGCCAGGATCAGGCAATTGATGCTCCTATGGTGTGGAATTAGAAGCACCCGTGTTGCCCTCGTGGGTGGAAACCACACCGCTTCTAGGTTTTGTACTCGCTAGATCTTCTTCATTCTCTTGTGTTTCTCTCTAACATTGGATTTACCAACATTTCACGATTTGGTTACTTCTCATATATCTGCCAATCAAGTTCTTGTATTGGAAAATTTGCGTTTCGGATGTAATTTTCGGCGAGTCACCCATCAAAATTGTTAAAGCATTTCGTGTTTGAATGCGAAATATATAAGTTTGAAATGGATTTGGAACGTGGGTATCGATTCAGGAACGAAACCAAGATGAAAGGTGTTGGGATCGGATTGAATTCCGCTACCCTTTTGATCATTAAGGTCCCGGATTCGCGGTTTTTGCGTCTTATGTCACGATCACTGTTCTTGGCTATTGTTATTCTGACATTGCCCTCAATTATGTCTATTATCAGGGGATCTTCAAGTGCTTTCTATGACTCTGATGTTGGCTATGATGTGATTGATTTCGACTTGTTGCCTTTTGTTTTTCGTGATTTGGCCGACGAAGGCCTTCTTAAAAAAGGCCTTAAGGGTCTCATTTTGAGTTCTGCCATTGGTGATCCTGAAGAAATTTCGCAGTTCTTAGTTGATAACGATATTAGTTTGGTTATTGGATCTGATTTGGGCCGCCAAAGCTTGATTCCAAAAGAGACATTTGATTTTGTGTTCACACCCAGCTTTCAGGATGCTAAATTTTTAGACCGGGTTCTCAAGATTGGTGGCATTGTTGTTATGCAATTGAGCAATGACCATCCAGATAAGTTTCAACAGCAAGCAAACTATAAAATTGTGTATATTCGGAGATTTGATTCGACTGTGGTAGCAATGAGGAAAATTGATGTGGTGGATGGCTTAGCGAAATCCCCAACAAAGCAGAGACTTTGTGGGATCACAGAAGAGGCCAAGAAAGCGGCATTGGGGGGTCTAGAGGACGTATTGCTCGAGCCACCAAGACAAGCATTAGCAAAATCGAGCAATGGCTCAAGGAAAATCAAGTTCCTCCCCAATTTGTTGGGGGACTCACTTGAAAGCTATCAGCGTCGGATTTTCATTTCAGATGAAAAAGCAGGAGTTCTGGAATGGTTTCATGAAAATTATCCGATGGGAAATCAGCAATTTGAGATTTATAATTTGGAGTTTGATATGTATGAAGCGGACAAGGTAGACAAAGGATCATTAAGCAGAAATTCGCCTCAGACAATTGGGGTGTCTGAGTGGTTGATGAAGAATGTAAAGGAAGAGGACTNTATGTATGAAGCGGACAAGGTAGACAAAGGATCATTAAGCAGAATGGCGCCTCAGACAATTGGGGTGTCTGAGTGGTTGATGAAGAATGTAAAGGAAGAGGACTATGTTGTGATGAAGGCAGAAGCACAATTGGTAGAGGAGATGATAAACAAGAAGACAATATGTTTGGTGGATGAGCTGTTTTTAGGTTGCAAGAACCAATGGCAAGAGGATGGGGTAGAAAATGAGAGTAAGAGGGCTTATTGGCAGTGCTTGGCATTGTATGGAAGGCTGAGAGATGAGGGGGTTGCAGTGCACCAATGGTGGGGCTAATTGAGAGAGGGAGATATCATATTCTCCAGCAACCTCGAAGTGACGGTAGTCTCATGTACTTTTTTTTTTGGAGGGGACTCGAACATTTGACCTCTAAAAGATAAAGTTTTTCACAAGGTAAAGAATTGCATTAAACCAAAGGCCCGTTGGTAGTAGTCTCGTGTACTAATACAATCTTTTAGACCTTAATTACTTGGTCTTTATCGATATGTGGTTGCTGTTCTGTCTTATGTAAGTGAGTTGCGAGGATGGATATTATGTTGAGCCATTGGTGTTGAGTCTGTTATTTGTTGGTCTTGTTGGGTTGGGAAGAGAGTGGTGTGATGGTTTCATCCTTTGTTACTTATTATTTATTTTGGCTTTTAATAATGGGACTGATAGTGTCCCTGTGGCATTTGGTGTTTCTGTTCTACTTAAAATAAAGTGAGGAGGAAAGAATAAAAGGAGATGGTGGTGTTTTGAGATTTCTAGTGTTTGTTACACTTAATAATAATTGGACTTGTCATATGCCTGTTGTCATATGCCCTACTTTATTATTCTTTGAAATTCTTTTAGTTCTCCCTCTCTCACACTGCACATTATGAAGTAAAAGTGTTCAAATTTTTAATTGACCATAATTTTTCTATCCTACCTGTCCCTACTCTACCATATTGAACGGTTAGTCACAAAAATCGGATAAAAATGTGAAAGAGTTTGTCTTCTGATTAAATCGAGTAGGAATGCAAACTACTCATTAATTTTCGCATTCCTATCATATCCTACCTGCATTAATTAATTTATATATATATATATAACCCTAATAGATAACCAACCTTATCGTCTACTGACTAAATGAGCGTCTTACTCCACTCCTCTCCTCTTGCCTCCATTGATGTTCATCGCTCAAGCCTCTGCCTCCATAGCTCAAGCTTTCATCGTTCAGTCTCAACCTCTCCAGGTACTCTCTCTCTCTTTCTCTCTGTATCTGTCTCTGTCTGGGTGCAATTTAGTGGCCATCCTCGTTTAGGCCTTCATCTACAGATCTGGTTTTTTTTTAAGCATCAATTTAATGAACCTCAAAACTCTAACTTTTAAGCATCGTTCAAGACTTTTCTATTTTTTTTAAGTATCGTTCAAGTCTTCTCTATTTTTTTTTAAAGTATCGTTCAGACCTTTTTTGTTTTTTTTAAGCTTTCAAAACTTATTCAGTTAACATCAAATATGAAAAATCCTAAATTTCAAGTCTTAAATTGGAATCCAAAACAACTAGAGCCAGTGCCTGCACTTTGCAATGTACTTGACGGTGTTTGTCGATCCTCATGCTTTCTTGCATTGTACATAATGTTCATATTTTCTTGTGTTTTATTGTAATTGTTGTTATAGTTGTTTTAGGTTTAGGTGTTATTGATTTATTGTATTATTAAATTGATGCATGTTATTTAATTGAATTATTTAAATGATCCAAAAATTAATAACTCTAAAAGTGTTTACCAGACTTCCTATCTCATTAATCGGGAAGGAAGTTGGGTAAGAATACCACACTTGATCGGGTAGGGTAGGCAAAAAAAAATAAAAAATTTTGCAAAATATTAAGTAGGAAGATAAAAGACTATATTTCCTATCGGTGAACACCCCTACTTTAAAGGCATAAAAGAAAGAGTTTGCAAAAATAGATTAAAAATAGTACATAACCCCCTATAATTGTTGGACTGAAATATGCACCGTTTAACTTCGTTAACAAAAAAATTAAGATAACCTTCATACTCCTCCATTCTTTTTCTCCAACAACGCCACCCAATTCTTCTTATACCTGGTCTAGCGGACAACTCAATATCCATTCAATTAGATCCCCCAAGAGACCAATGATCAAAAGAAAACAAAAATCATCCAGCCATGCCACCACCACTCCCCATCAAACAAAAACCCCAAAATCCAATCAAACAAACAAAATCCAAAATATAAAAAACAACTAAGCAAACTTCCAAAAACCAGACCTCTGTGTTACCAATTGTTGTGGGTCCAAAAATCCAAAACACCCTTCATGGGTTGCCGTGGATGGTTAGAATAGAGACCTTTATACATGTTGATTTTGAATAAGTGAATTTGCTAGTCATCTTCTCTATATATACATAGATATATTGAATCAAAATAAGNCCAATTGTTGTGGGTCCAAAAATCCAAAACACCCTTCATGGGTTGCCGTGGATGGTTAGAATAGAGACCTTTATACATGTTGATTTCGAATAAGTGAATTTGCTAGTCATCTTCTCTATATATACATAGATATATTGAATCAAAATAAGCCGTATTTTATTATTTTTTTAAGTTTAGATTAATGGATTTTCTTGATTTTATGGATTTGTTTTGCATTTTTTAGGTTTGTTTAAAAGACATTCAAGGGTTTGGTGGGTTCTTCAATTTGGGTTTGATTGGAGCTCTGAAAAGAAGGTGACTGGTCAGAGAAGTGACAATTGATGGAAAAGGGGAGAGCTCTGTGTGTGCCTGTGTGCGATAGCGAGAGAGAGACAGAGATTATGTGAAATTGTGAGAGGTGGGGATTGATAACCAGTTGGAAGTCTCGCGCATGTAGTCTGGCCTGTGGAGGTGGTGCAAACTGGAGTGCTGGTAGCTATATTTAGGATGATCCGATACCAGTGTGCAACAAGTTGGAGGGGTTGCAGAAGGAAAGAAGGGAGAGCGAGGTAAGGATATTTAGGTCTTTTCATATTTCCGTTTTTCATACTTAGTCTCCCAATATGGCACGTGGCCAGAAGCCCNCGATACCAGTGTGCAACAAGTTGGAGGGGTTGCAGAAGGAAAGAAGGGAGAGCGAGGTAAGGGTATTTAGGTCTTTCATATTTCCGTTTTTCATACTTAGTCTCCCAATATGGCACGTGGCCAGAAGCCCAACGGTGCATTTCAGTCTTACAACCACAAAGGGGTTATATGCTACTTTTAATCTGTAAAGAGGTGATATGCAAATGGGATAAACCACAAGGGTAAAATGAAGTTTTACCCTAAAAGAAACAATGCAGTGAAAGAGAAAATAAAATGTAGGATTTCCTCAACATAACTGAAAATAACATTTAACTATTTCAGTGGTCTAAATTACAAAAAGTTCCTCAACTACATCAAACTTTTATTTTACATATCATTTCAGTAACAACATTAACATATGAAATATTAAGAGTAGAGCTCAGCACCAAAATTCTCGATTAATGATTGGGTATCTGCCATTTTCCTCTTTTGAACTACTCCCGTGGTAATTAAGGGTCCATTTCTCAAATGTACAGTCAATAAAATCATAATAGCCACCATGAATGGAGAGCAACCCGTTTGTCACTCTCTCTGCTATCCATTGGTAAGTGAGCAAGTTCAACATTGAACGGTTGATAGATTCCTGAAAAAAAAAAAAGAAGTTATCTATTAGCCTAATCAAACAATAGACCAAAATCCCGGGTAACACCCTCCCTCCAAAAACAAAAATAAACTGTAAATGCAAAATATCCTGTTATCGCATTGAAACAGAAGCATTCAATGACGGTAAATGCTGAACTAGAAACATATAGTACCTTCTCACAGTGTCTACACTGCTGATCAAAGCTGAGGTTGGAAGCAGCAGCCTTAGTGCTCAACCTTGCATGCATCCCAACAGCCACCCAACTTTTAATGAAGCTTCTGGATAGCACAATAAGATGGATGAAAAACATAACAAAATCCTCTATTATGGAGAGAGCGAGAGAGAGGCATAAAAAGATAATAAAGCTTTGTGTATTCCAAACCTTGAATTTTCTTCATCTTGCATACTCATTAATGCACGAATGCCTCCGCAGCAGCTGTGGCCAATGACTAGTATATTTGCAACCTGCAGGAAATTAAACTTGCTGAAGTTCAAAAGAAAGAGTGTGTTTCTTGCTAACATTTTTTACCTTACATTCCTCCGTTTATTTGACAGAGGTCAACAGAGCACAAAGTAGAAAAACCTTCTGTTTAAACATGGCAGATGCAATCTTATAAATTGTGATCCAATAATACCATAACAACTCATTAGTATTGCTGGAAATCCACAGGCTAACCGAAGTTTCTCATAATGGAATATTACCAAAAATGCTTTTCCTCCTGCACACATTCAATACTTGCACCCCTCACATCCATCCCTTTTTCAAATTCTCTTTCCTTTTGTTTATTTGGAATATCAATGAAATTCAATCCAGGTTGTGCATTATGTTCATTTCTCGATTTCTCTTGCGATGAAATCCTAATTGAATTTGCAAAGTCCAATAGTTCCAATTTCCTCTTGATTCCTGAATCCCAAACAGTAAACTGTTGCCTTAGTATATGGACAGACCAGTCTGACCAGAAGCACCTAAAAATTTGTGGGCTTACATAGCTTTTCGAGCTAGTAGAGAAAAAATAAAATGGCATGTCAGTATGCTGGTCAGGAAGAAAGAAATTACTTCTAGAGCATTAACAGCAAATTCAAGGGCAGCATTTGTTTCTGAGGGTCCACTCTGCACCATAAGAAAAATTGCAAAAAATATAGTTCAGTACACTTTTCACAAATCCCCAACATGCATGTCCATTCTACCAGTATGTGACATAAGGCCACAAGGAAGCATGGCCAATATACAATACCTCAAAAGGAGGCACCAGATTTGCCACATTGCGGACTACAAAGGCTTCTCCTGGCTGAAATCCTAGGATGCTGGAGGGACAAACCCGAGAATCTGCACAGGCAATCACCATGAACTATTCTCGAAACTGTCAGTCAACAAGTCTCAACCACTCCAACAACCAATATGAGGCAAATGCCTAAGCATGATACATTAAAAAAATATAACCTTTGGTGCTTGACCCTTAGCAAGATTTTGAAAGCATTCCAAGTTTTCCCTATCACAACAAAAGAAAATAAATAAATACCGGACTACTAAGGAAACTAAAAATTCTATAACGCTAAACAATGTCAAGCTAGATTTAAATGCTGCTCACATGTATTTATTCTTTTTGAAACTCAGGAACCGATGCTTCATCTCACTGAACAAAGCAGACTCATTTTGAGCTACGGCTATGCTTTTCTGCTTGTTGCTTGTAATTTTCTCAGTCAGGCCCGGAGCCTCAAGGGAGGCCTTCAATCTCAATGCTGGATTACTCCTCCAAGTGTGAAAGAGAGACATTTGGACCAACAGATGTGTTAGTAACTTGGATGTATTACTTACATTAATAGGACAGATTAGTTAAATCAGAATAGAGGCATGCTTATCTCTTGGGGTCAATCCCGAAGGTTGCATGGATGTCTGTAATCTTAAAATGAATGTATTTCCTATAAGTGGTCATCAAACAATCAAATTAGAAGCTTGTGATGCATGAGTTAGAACTCATTTACTCAAGATCCTTCAATTATAGAGGAAATTTGTAGTTGAGAGGTAAAGAGCAACTCCAAAGAAGAATGGAGAACTGTGTCAAGTACATCATCATCCAAACTTAGACAATCAAATGGACCCATGTTCTACATATGTACATTCAACTCAACTGAACAAAACTTTGTCCCATCATGTTTTGGGTCGGCTACATGAATCTTATTTCTCCGTTCAGCTCTATCAAGGACAATGATATACTACAAAATACGGATACTTCGTTAAGGACAGCATACCCGTATCTAATAAGATATTTATCGAATACATATCAAATACTCCTCTAGTTCTCCTATGTATCCAATAATTATAAAATATTTGGATACTTCGAAGATACTTTGGTATTAGAGCAATATATGTAATTTTTTAATTTAATCTTGAATATCTCCTTTCTAATTCACACACCATATAATACATCAATAAAAATTCATACTATTTTAAAGACACATGAGTATTTTTTTTTAAGTATTATCAACTATTACATGTCAAAAGAACATAAAATGAATCTATTATATTACAATCTTAACTATAAATAGTTCTAAACAAACCAACTATATAAATATTACTTTTGATTTCATTAATTAGTCACTTCACTTTATGAATATACCATAATGATATGATATATGTTTTTTTAAAACTAGAAAAAAATTGCTAATTTTCTTTATTATGTTGAAGAATTACCAAAAATATATAATTATTAAGTAGGTAAATAATAGTAAAAATACGAAATATATTTTGTTATACACGGATCGTGGCGTATCCGTATCCTACTTTTTTTTTTAATTTTCTCGTCCCATGTTCTATCTGATAGAATGATAGAACCCAAATCCTATTTTTTTGGGGATTCTAAGGCAAAGAAAGTCTAGGGCTGCCCAAACACAAAATAATGCAGATGAAGAGATAAAAACATATACTAAAATTTTCAATACACAACATCTAGATTGAATTCGTATCCCTGAGTTTGACCCACAACATTCAGACCCTCTTTCAAGATTGCCACTAGATTTTACTTAAATCTAAATTGTTATACTAAATACCTATTAGTGCCAGAAATTTCTTCGAGCAGACTGAATTCAATGAACAGTAGCTTGAGATCAAGAAGCTACAACGGCAATCCAAATTAGAGAACCATAACATCAATCATTGAACACCAAATTGCGATTTTCAATTGATATAATGACAAATAAAAAGCTCAGATAAGAAAGACACTAAAATCAATAAAGACTTACTTGGAAGAATTCGAAAATCTCAAATGGGTCTGCTCAATTTCCAACAATCTCAACTTGGAACCAAAGATCTGCTCCAGAAAGTCGAACAAAACATCAAAAGTGAAAGAATTGAGCCACACACACATACCAGATAGAGAGAGAGAGAGATAGTTACTGCTGAGGTGGTAGATGAAGTTCTGCGTACGTCCGTGGACGAATTGGAGAGAGAGGAAGGTGGAAGCAGTGCCTGAGCCATTGCAGAGAGATCTATCTCTTTTCTTTGGGTGCGTGTAATGAAGAAAAAAGTAGACAAAGCACTTGCTTGTTCATTTCAGCCATTGTTGAGAATATATATACACAAAGAAGACACAAAAAGCAGTTTGGTCATACTGATGGGCGTTGGTTGGATCAAAGAACACTTGTTTCTCTCTCCAAAAAAGACGGAGAAACCAATGCTTTCCCATAAACAGCTGTTCGCTCAATGAACAGCCAACTACTCAACTGGAGTTTCAACGATAGCAACTATGCAAAGATGTTATAGCAGAAGGCCCACCATATGTCTCGGATAATTGATTTGGGTAAATGAGTTGGGACATGGTGGACCCGCTCTTAATAGGAGCAAATATTCGGTTATAACTCAAATCGCAAAATAAATACTAATTACTTACACATATATGAATGTACAATTAAATATAATTTAATATAATATAGAAGTTGATCCGATTAAAAACGAATTACGTTCCGAAATATTATACCAACTAATCTTACTTTTGTCACACTGAGTATCGGAAAAAATATCATATTATATATTCGCATTTATGTCACGAATCAAATCGACCCATAATCAATTACTACTTCACATAACTATTCGTCCGTATAAGATAGTAATCATTCTAGTTAAAAAAGTGAAATTCACCTTATTTTCTTATTTATTTATTATTAAACGGTTACAATACGTGACAATAAAAACGTAATGCAATTATTATAATGAATATTTACTCGTCATGTCTATTTTTCGACTTTGATAAAAAAAAAAATTTTGTTGAATTTTGATTGGTCGACAATACAGGCCATCGTCCTAAAGGCAACGAAATCTATCCATCAAACTAAAAAGGCCCATGGGCCTTACTTATTAGGTCGATCTGACAGACCAAGCTTACTATAGTTGGCCCAATTGGTAATCAAAGGTTCGAACTCAACCCATGGGCCACATGCCGCCTCTTAAGCACCCACATGGCCCATTAGACCCTGTGGCACTTAACCTCGTTGATTAGAAATTTAACCTTATTAGATCATGACCTTCTCCGATGAGGTTCTCGAATTCTAACGAGAATCGAATCCAAGAAATCGTGAACCCGAGTCATTGACAGCTCTTCCAAGAGTTATAGATGGATGGATTTCGCTAGCAGTGCTACCACTGATCTTTCCAAAGCCAGGTAGGTAGAGGACAAGCTTGTACTCCTGACACTTATACCCTCTGTTATTTCACCTCAAAAGCTAAAACAAAAGATACTCGTGTAACTCCCGTCTATAACCGAGTCTAAATGAGAGAAGTAGAAAATAGACTTACCACCATTATTATTATTTTTTTTCAGTTCGACAATCAGGGATTTTCGAATAAGTTTATGTCCATCATGACTAATCCCTTCTCTAATCCAGCCAAAGTCAGATCATTTATGTTAAAACTAAATAATTCATGAAAGATAAATTTCTTATAACTTAACTTAAAAAATTATCAAAATTTAAACTCAAGACGAATGTTTGTATCAACTCGTCATTATTATCACTTGATCTACCTCTATTCTCAAGAGAATAATTCCAAGACTCAAACACGACACATTGTTCAATCGCTTGCCGCTTGTTTTCACTCTAGATTCGACCAGACCTAAATAATTGTCAAGACTCGAACTCAAGACAAACGCCTGAATTTATAACTCGTAATTTTTACCAGTTGAACTACCTCTATTGTCAAGAGAATGATTCCAAGACTCAAACATAACACATTGTTCAATCGCTTGTTGCTTGTCTTCACTTTAGATTCTACCTGACCCAAAAAATTATCAAAATTTGAACTCAAGACAGACGTTTGTATTTACAACTCATCACTGTTATCACTTGAGTTATCTCCATTGTCAAGAGAATGATTACAAGACTCAAACACAACACATTGTTCGATAGCTTGTCACTCTAGATTCAACCTGACCCAATAAATTATCAAGATTCGAATTCAAGATAGAAACCTGTATTTATAACTCGTCACTGTTACCACTTGTGCTACCTCCATTGTCAAGAGAATGATTCCAAGACTCAAACACGACATATTGTTTGATCACTTGTCGCTTGTCTTCACTCTAGATCCGATCTGTTCTGTCATTGCGAATACTATTTTCTGATCTCCTTCAAACAAAATTACTTCTCTTTCTGCTGATAACAATACACCAAAGGCGTTTTATCAAGCCAACCTTCTAAACCATTCAACTGGTTAAGTCTCAGGCTCCCATCAAATAAAACACCAGCAAAACAAGAAAATTTGACAAAGACGAACGTTCCAGTGACTGTTTTTTCCTTCAACCACTAGCGGCTTCAATACTAAGACCGACCACAAGTCATGCCGCAATTAACAAAATGTACAGACCACAATGTCATCTAAGGACTTCAAAACTTTCATACTCGTGTTATCTTCAATGATTCATTTCCAGGACCTGCAATCACATACAGTTGAAAAAGGATTCTACAAATTTTAGGTAAAATCGGGAGCTTTACAAATTAAGCTGATGCAAAGCATACTGGTCAGGGAATCAGAGCATACAGCAACAGTGCATCGACTATGATGAAGTTGTCCAACCCCAAACCCTGCAAGAAATGGAGACAACTTCCTCCAACAATTCAGAAGGTGATTTATTGTTTAATTCTAAATTCTTTAAAAAGGAGAGGAGAAAGTTGACTGACAAACTAAATCAAGCAGCCATATCTCGGACATAAAGGCAGGCAAATGCAAACAGAAGATGAAGAAAAGCCTCGGTTATTATGCAAAAATACTCATTAACGCATCCCAATGAGCCTCACAAATTATCCTGATTCCAAGACTAATAATCCAACAACTCCGAAAATAAATGGTTGCCAAACATTCATGGACCTGGAGCAAGCTTTTTGGAGTGGCTATAAAAGGTCAAACTCAAAAACAAATCAACAAAAAGGACAAATGATACACATATCTTTTTTTCATGATAATCAAGAATTTTATGTGATATTTTAATGCTTGATTAAGTGCAGACATCATGCAGTGCACTTCCACGCCCAAGAAACACAGATGCCAAAGAAAAAACCTATGCTAATCCTGAAAAAACAAGAAATCATCCCGCACATATGACATTTCAATTTTCGGGCCTGACACTAGATAAATGCAAGCACAATTCGTTTAACTGGGGTAATTAGTTTATTAATAAAAGCAAAAAGAAGAGAAACAAGTATAGTTTCTGTTGATACCTCTCTTTAGAGGAAGATCAGGATACCGTGGATCTTTTAAGAATTACCTTTTTTTTTTTTTTTTAAGAATTACCTCCATGTAGCAAAAAGCTATAACCACATATAAACAGGAAAAGCAGAAAAAAAAAAGAGGAAAATCAGAAATTCAAGTGTGTACGCAGAGAATTCAAGATTTACTACAACAGGAAATTTTTCCACCAAGCCAATTTCATGATGACCTTTCTATGTGCTCATATTTCCCAGTGCAAGTTCAAGTAGGTAGAATAACCCTGACTTTGATACAATACCTTATTCTCTGCCATTACTCACCATCAATCTGAGACAAGAGCCCTCTCAACATAAACAAATTTGTGCAAAATGAAAAATAAAGAACCACATCCTTCAATAAATCGGCATAAAAATGATGACAACATATATGGTTAATTGATCATAATAATTATTGCGATTATGGGGCTTCCAAAATGAATAAACAAGCTGGGATTCCTGCAAATCAAAACATTGAAAGAGAATAAGAGAAAGGGATGCAGAAAGAAAAACATAAACTTAATTCCATTTCTTGTTATTAATTCTATTCCAGTCCTAAAACATATTGCAGCTGCAAATTTTAGAATACAAAATTTTTAATTGAAACACATACCAATGTCAACAAGACAACACCATGATCTAAAGTAACTTATTGTCAGGACCCATCATGCCATGTTGCCAGGTTCGGTAGTGACATTTACTTGGGAAACTAACATGAACCATGAGTTCGAGAATCCACAAAGGATTGATCAACAAAATAAAATCAGCAGCCATGTACAAGTCTTGTTCAGGTAGGATAATTTAGCAACTAAAGCAAAACGAAGCATAAAAGAAGAAAAAGATGCAGTACAGATGATAATCGGCAAACAGAGACCTTTGAAAAAGTAAGGTGTAAATAACTCAAGGTTTTGTTCAACNCAAACTCAAAAACAAATCAACAAAAAGGACAAATGATACACATATCTTTTTTTCATGATAATCAAGAATTTTATGTGATATTTTAATGCTTGATTAAGTGCAGACATCATGCAGTGCACTTCCACGCCCAAGAAACACAGATGCCAGAGAAAAAACCTATGCTAATCCTGAAATAACAAGAAATCATCCCGCACATATGACATTTCAATTTTCGGGCCTGACACTAGATAAATGCAAGCACAATTCGTTTAACTTGGGTAATTAGTTTATTAATAAAAGCAAAAAGAAGAGAAACAAGTATAGTTTCTGTTGATACCTCTCTTTAGAGGCAGATCAGGATACCGTGGATCTTTTAAGAATTACCTTTTTTTTTTTTTAAGAATTACCTCCATGTAGCATAAAGCTATAACCACATATAAACAGGAAAAGCAGAAAAAAAAAGAGGAAAATCAGAAATTCAAGTGTGTACGCAGAGAATTCAAGATTTACTACAACAGGAAATTTTTCCACCAAGCCAATTTCATGATGACCTTTCTATGTGCTCATATTTCCCAGTGCAAGTTCAAGTAGGTAGAATAACCCTGACTTTGATACAATACCTTATTCTCTGCCATTACTCACCATCAATCTGAGACAAGAGCCCTCTCAACATAAACAAATTTGTGCAAAATGAAAAATAAAGAACCACATCCTTCAATAAATCGGCATAAAAATGATGACAACATATATGGTTAATTGATCATAATAATTATTGCGATTATGGGGCTTCCAAAATGAATAAACAAGCTGGGATTCCTGCAAATCAAAACATTGAAAGAGAATAAGAGAAAGGGATGCAGAAAGAAAAACATAAACTTAATTCCATTTCTTGTTATTAATTCTATTCCAGTCCTAAAACATATTGCAGCTGCAAATTTTAGAATACAAAATTTTTAATTGAAACACATACCAATGTCAACAAGACAACACCATGATCTAAAGTAACTTATTGTCAGGACCCATCATGCCATGTTGCCAGGTTCGGTAGTGACATTTACTTGGGAAACTAACATGAACCATGAGTTCGAGAATCCACAAAGNTTTTTTCAGTTCGACAATCAGGGATTTTCGAATAAGTTTATGTCCATCATGACTAATCCCTTCTCTAATCCAGCCAAAGTCAGATCATTTATGTTAAAACTAAATAATTCATGAAAGATAAATTTCTTATAACTTAACTTAAAAAATTATCAAAATTTAAACTCAAGACGAATGTTTGTATCAACTCGTCATTATTATCACTTGATCTACCTCTATTCTCAAGAGAATAATTCCAAGACTCAAACACGACACATTGTTCAATCGCTTGCCGCTTGTTTTCACTCTAGATTCGACCAGACCTAAATAATTGTCAAGACTCGAACTCAAGACAAACGCCTGAATTTATAACTCGTAATTTTTACCAGTTGAACTACCTCTATTGTCAAGAGAATGATTCCAAGACTCAAACATAACACATTGTTCAATCGCTTGTTGCTTGTCTTCACTTTAGATTCTACCTGACCCAAAAAATTATCAAAATTTGAACTCAAGACAGACGTTTGTATTTACAACTCATCACTGTTATCACTTGAGTTATCTCCATTGTCAAGAGAATGATTACAAGACTCAAACACAACACATTGTTCGATAGCTTGTCACTCTAGATTCAACCTGACCCAAGAAATTATCAAGATTCGAATTCAAGATAGAAACCTGTATTTATAACTCGTCACTGTTACCACTTGTGATACCTCCATTGTCAAGAGAATGATTCCAAGACTCAAACACGACATATTGTTTGATCACTTGTCGCTTGTCTTCACTCTAGATCCGATCTGTTCTGTCATTGCGAATACTATTTTCTGATCTCCTTCAAACAAAATTACTTCTCTTTCTGCTGATAACAATACACCAAAGGCGTTTTATCAAGCCAACCTTCTAAACCATTCAACTGGTTAAGTCTCAGGCTCCCATCAAATAAAACACCAGCAAAACAAGAAAATTTGACAAAGACGAACGTTCCAGTGACTGTTTTTTCCTTCAACCACTAGCGGCTTCAATACTAAGACCGACCACAAGTCATGCCGCAATTAACAAAATGTACAGACCACAATGTCATCTAAGGACTTCAAAACTTTCATACTCGTGTTATCTTCAATGATTCATTTCCAGGACCTGCAATCACATACAGTTGAAAAAGGATTCTACAAATTTTAGGTAAAATCGGGAGCTTTACAAATTAAGCTGATGCAAAGCATACTGGTCAGGGAATCAGAGCATACAGCAACAGTGCATCGACTATGATGAAGTTGTCCAACCCCAAACCCTGCAAGAAATGGAGACAACTTCCTCCAACAATTCAGAAGGTGATTTATTGTTTAATTCTAAATTCTTTAAAAAGGAGAGGAGAAAGTTGACTGACAAACTAAATCAAGCAGCCATATCTCGGACATAAAGGCAGGCAAATGCAAACAGAAGATGAAGAAAAGCCTCGGTTATTATGCAAAAATACTCATTAACGCATCCCAATGAGCCTCACAAATTATCCTGATTCCAAGACTAATAATCCAACAACTCCGAAAATAAATGGTTGCCAAACATTCATGGACCTGGAGCAAGCTTTTTGGAGTGGCTATAAAAGGTCAAACTCAAAAACAAATCAACAAAAAGGACAAATGATACACATATCTTTTTTTCATGATAATCAAGAATTTTATGTGATATTTTAATGCTTGATTAAGTGCAGACATCATGCAGTGCACTTCCACGCCCAAGAAACACAGATGCCAGAGAAAAAACCTATGCTAATCCTGAAATAACAAGAAATCATCCCGCACATATGACATTTCAATTTTCGGGCCTGACACTAGATAAATGCAAGCACAATTCGTTTAACTTGGGTAATTAGTTTATTAATAAAAGCAAAAAGAAGAGAAACAAGTATAGTTTCTGTTGATACCTCTCTTTAGAGGCAGATCAGGATACCGTGGATCTTTTAAGAATTACCTTTTTTTTTTTTTAAGAATTACCTCCATGTAGCATAAAGCTATAACCACATATAAACAGGAAAAGCAGAAAAAAAAAGAGGAAAATCAGAAATTCAAGTGTGTACGCAGAGAATTCAAGATTTACTACAACAGGAAATTTTTCCACCAAGCCAATTTCATGATGACCTTTCTATGTGCTCATATTTCCCAGTGCAAGTTCAAGTAGGTAGAATAACCCTGACTTTGATACAATACCTTATTCTCTGCCATTACTCACCATCAATCTGAGACAAGAGCCCTCTCAACATAAACAAATTTGTGCAAAATGAAAAATAAAGAACCACATCCTTCAATAAATCGGCATAAAAATGATGACAACATATATGGTTAATTGATCATAATAATTATTGCGATTATGGGGCTTCCAAAATGAATAAACAAGCTGGGATTCCTGCAAATCAAAACATTGAAAGAGAATAAGAGAAAGGGATGCAGAAAGAAAAACATAAACTTAATTCCATTTCTTGTTATTAATTCTATTCCAGTCCTAAAACATATTGCAGCTGCAAATTTTAGAATACAAAATTTTTAATTGAAACACATACCAATGTCAACAAGACAACACCATGATCTAAAGTAACTTATTGTCAGGACCCATCATGCCATGTTGCCAGGTTCGGTAGTGACATTTACTTGGGAAACTAACATGAACCATGAGTTCGAGAATCCACAAAGGATTGATCAACAAAATAAAATCAGCAGCCATGTACAAGTCTTGTTCAGGTAGGATAATTTAGCAACTAAAGCAAAACGAAGCATAAAAGAAGAAAAAGATGCAGTACAGATGATAATCGGCAAACAGAGACCTTTGAAAAAGTAAGGTGTAAATAACTCAAGGTTTTGTTCAACGAGGTATTACAAAGTTGAAATTCCACTTACATATAGGTAGGGACAAGCTGGGCAGCCAGCCCTACTCTACTTTGCTTTTTGCTGCATGCACTCCATACTCAGAGATAATAGGACTTGCATGATACAGGGGATGAAACAGATGAAGCAAACGGTGGAAAAACACCAGCAGCTCAATCAGTAACCTTCCATTTCACAGCCTTATTATCTAACCAGGAGGGATTAATCCACTTAATGCATTATAGCCCGGATAGAGTAAATTACATTGAACTACAATGAAACCATTAAACGAATTCCCAGTTTTCTACATAATTATTTACTACAAACATAAACAAAAAGAAAAAGCAGCTACAACAACATGAAAAAAGAGTCTTACGTCACTAAGAAGCCTTAACCTTATCATCACCCACACCAGAGAGTATCGGCAAACCACTCAGGAATTCATCAAGGCCCTCAAAAAAGCCAATTCCGATGTTATCATCCTCCCCATTTCCTGCTCCATGTCCTCCACGCATTACTAGTGCAGGCTCTTCAATCTCATTACTAAACTCTAGATTCAAATCCAACTTCCCCAAATCCTTAGCAACTTTTGCAGGTGGCTTTCTTGTGCTACTCACTGTCGCTTTCTTACTTGACTCAGCCGTCACAACATTACTCCCTGGCACACCCTCTTGCATTACAAACCCACCTCGCAAATTCTCACCACTACCTCCTTTAACATTCTTTCCTTTATCTGCTTGCGGTTTCTTAACCTTTCTACCTGGTGTACCCTTCTCCTTCACATTCTTCCCTTTCCTCTTCTGTTTAATGCGACCCCAATCATCATCAGAATCTTCACTCGAATCTGTCACTTGCACAAAAACATCATCATCATCAAAATAAATCCTAGGAGCATTGTTCTTCTTCAAATTTTCTGTGCCCCCATTTTTCTCTACCATCTGAGGACAGGTAAACATAGGCGAAAAAGGTGTCCAACCTGAAAGCCCCTTATTTTTATCCAAATTCAACGCCGAAACCCCCAATGGGAAAAACCCCCAAGAACAAAAATAAGCTTCTTTCCCATCAACAATCGGCGGTGGCGACGAAATTACCACCGCCTGAAACGCCCTTTTACAGTTTTGACACCGAAGTGTACACTCTGCATAAATCTTAGGATATTCATACATATGATAACAATACGGACAAGCAGTCCAAAAATTCGAACTTTGATCAGGTTCAACATGCACTGATCGCGAAACCTCCTCTCTTACACTCTTCTCATTACCCTTTCCACCACTATCATAATTATAACTGCTATTCAAAGGGTTTTGTTTCAATTGCTCTTGCTGTGGTGGCTGATGATTTTGACTTTCTTGCTCTCGACTCGACCCAGACACAGACCCAGACCCAACTGGGTTTGGGGGGTTTGGAAATAGAACTGGGTTTGGAGTGAGATTTAAAGAGAGATTGAGCTCGTTATCATATAAGAACTTTTTCGAAGGGTTCGATAAAACTGACCAAGCATCGATGACGAGCCTGAAGGCTTGTTCAGCAAAGGCAAGCTTGTTCCTTTCTGGATGGAGAAGAAGAGCGAGTCGGCGGTACTGAGTCGAGATGAGTTCCAAGTCATGGGTCGGTCCGACAAGTTGGAGAATCGCGTACCAGTCCCGTTGGCCGTTGATTCTCTTATCGCCGGCAAGTAATGTGTCCGCCACTGCTAGGATTTGGTAAGCCGTCTCGAAATTCGGGTCGGACTCTTTGACCCGGATCGCGAATGTTTTGCTTCCGATAAGATCACCGGAGATCAGGAGTTTCTCGGCGATGGTGAGCCAACGTTGTGCCTCCGCCCACGAGCTTGTGTTAGGTTCCATTTTTTGGTTTCTCTCTCTCTACAACTTTCTCTCTCTTCCTCTTCGGTGTGTTTTGGGTGAAGGAACATGTCATGGGGGCTGAGAGGAAAGTGGATTTTTTTTTTTTGGGGTGGGGGAGGGGGGGGTGGTGGTGACTGGGAATATCTTTTGGGTGGACTAAAGAGGACTGAGCTTTTGCAGAAAAGGCCATGCTTCTAAGTTTGTTGGCGTTGACCAGGTGTTGATGGTGGGGGCCTATCAGTAATTTCACCTTTGTAAAACAGAAAACTACTGTTTCTCTCTACTAGAAGTGCTGAACTGAGGTTTGGCACTACGCACTAAAATAAAAACAAGTGTATAAATTTTTTTTATCATTTTATAATTATGAATATAATTTAAATTTAATAACTGATATTAATGAAAGTATGGTGCAAAAATAAAAAGCCGATACAGTAACCTTCCCCGTATAGTAAAAAGTAAAACTCCACATCAGTTTAGTGGATCAACCATATTTGATTCGAGTTTGATTAATCATAGTTTGACTAATATTTTGTGGGCCGTTATTAAAGAAAAATGTTATTTAAATTTAAAATTTTAATATAATTTATTGACATAATGACGTATTTTTATAAGAATTATTAGATCAACACCAAATTTCAATGTTTGATTGGACCTACAGTCAATCCAAATATCACAATGAATTATGTCAATAAATTATATCAATAAATTGCGCCTCAATAGCATTGCTTGATATTAAAATTTAAATTTCTATATGTTGTCATGTATTCTATGAATTTAGATTTAGGTATATAAATATCAATAAATTATAGAACAATATAAATTAAATATACATGTGATAACCCAAATTATTAATTAGAAAGATAACTATAGTTTTATATTTTCAAAGTTTATTTTCATAAATTTAAAATAAATAAATAAACCTCAAATATAAGTTAAAATGAATCAAATGATTATAATATTAATTTTGTTTAATAAATATCTAATGTGTCCAAACGATGTAAAATGTGTAAAAATATGTCACATAAATTAATATGTAATAAAAAAGGTGAACAATTTTACATTTGAAATGACAATTGGACAAGTGTCATATTGAGAATAAGGAGTTGACATGTGTATTGGTTTTTTTTTTTTTCAAAAAAGAACAAATATTGGGAAAATAGATAAGTGTCTTTTGATGTCAACATGCATGCCTAAGCATTGTGACATAAGATGTTTAGTGGCCAAATAAGATTTGGTTATAAGAAAGGGTTTGCCAAGTAATTCAACAATAAGAAGAAAGAAAGGAAGAAAATAGAGAAAAAGAAGAAGGGGGAAAAAGATAGAAATAAGAAGAAGAAAAAAATGAGATTTTTGGTGGAAATTAGATGACGATTTTAGTCCTAAATTCTATAAATTGGTATATGTTCTTAATCTGGTGGTGATCAAATTTATCATCATCATTTGGTGAATTAAGATAAAGGGTAATACACGATATACTAATATCTTTAAATCTCTTTATAAAGAGTGTCCTATTTGTTTATCTCAAAGTTTGTGTTCTTATTTGTAATTTTTGTTTGATATGAAATTCTATATATTTGTTATTTAACTTGTATCTTGTGTTAAATATTTTGGGATTGATTGGTACGTGTACAAAATTTGCTTTGGACATAATTTGTGAAATATAATTATAGCCCTATAGGGTNTCTACCATCTGAGGACAGGTAAACATAGGCGAAAAAGGTGTCCAACCTGAAAGCCCCTTATTTTTATCCAAATTCAACGCCGAAACCCCCAATGGGAAAAACCCCCAAGAACAAAAATAAGCTTCTTTCCCATCAACAATCGGCGGTGGCGACGAAATTACCACCGCCTGAAACGCCCTTTTACAGTTTTGACACCGAAGTGTACACTCTGCATAAATCTTAGGATATTCATACATATGATAACAATACGGACAAGCAGTCCAAAAATTCGAACTTTGATCAGGTTCAACATGCACTGATCGCGAAACCTCCTCTCTTACACTCTTCTCATTACCCTTTCCACCACTATCATAATTATAACTGCTATTCAAAGGGTTTTGTTTCAATTGCTCTTGCTGTGGTGGCTGATGATTTTGACTTTCTTGCTCTCGACTCGACCCAGACACAGACCCAGACCCAACTGGGTTTGGGGGGTTTGGAAATAGAACTGGGTTTGGAGTGAGATTTAAAGAGAGATTGAGCTCGTTATCATATAAGAACTTTTTCGAAGGGTTCGATAAAACTGACCAAGCATCGATGACGAGCCTGAAGGCTTGTTCAGCAAAGGCAAGCTTGTTCCTTTCTGGATGGAGAAGAAGAGCGAGTCGGCGGTACTGAGTCGAGATGAGTTCCAAGTCATGGGTCGGTCCGACAAGTTGGAGAATCGCGTACCAGTCCCGTTGGCCGTTGATTCTCTTATCGCCGGCAAGTAATGTGTCCGCCACTGCTAGGATTTGGTAAGCCGTCTCGAAATTCGGGTCGGACTCTTTGACCCGGATCGCGAATGTTTTGCTTCCGATAAGATCACCGGAGATCAGGAGTTTCTCGGCGATGGTGAGCCAACGTTGTGCCTCCGCCCAGGAGCTTGTGTTAGGTTCCATTTTTTGGTTTCTCTCTCTCTACAACTTTCTCTCTCTTCCTCTTCGGTGTGTTTTGGGTGAAGGAACATGTCATGGGGGCTGAGAGGAAAGTGGATTTTTTTTTTTTGGGGTGGGGGAGGGGGTGGTGGTGGTGACTGGGAATATCTTTTGGGTGGACTAAAGAGGACTGAGCTTTTGCAGAAAAGGCCATGCTTCTAAGTTTGTTGGCGTTGACCAGGTGTTGATGGTGGGGGCCTATCAGTAATTTCACCTTTGTAAAACAGAAATCTACTGTTTCTCTCTACTAGAAGTGCTGAACTGAGGTTTGGCACTACGCACTAAAATAAAAACAAGTGTATAAATTTTTTTTATCATTTTATAATTATGAATATAATTTAAATTTAATAACTGATATTAATGAAAGTATGGTGCAAAAATAAAAAGCCGATACAGTAACCTTCCCCGTATAGTAAAAAGTAAAACTCCACATCAGTTTAGTGGATCAACCATATTTGATTCGAGTTTGATTAATCATAGTTTGACTAATATTTTGTGGCCCGTTATTAAAGAAAAATGTTATTTAAATTTAAAATTTTAATATAATTTATTGACATAATGATGTATTTTTATAAGAATTATTAGATCAACACCAAATTTCAATGTTTGATTGGGCCTACAGTCAATCCAAATATCACAATGAATTATGTCAATAAATTATATCAGTAAGTTGCGCCTCAATAGCATTGCTCGCTATTAAAATTTAAATTTCTATATGTTGTGATGTATTCTATGAATTTAGATTTAGGTATATAAATATCAATAAATTATAGAACAATANACTATCTCCATTGTCAAGAGAATGATTACAAGACTCAAACACAACACATTGTTCGATAGCTTGTCACTCTAGATTCAACCTGACCCAATAAATTATCAAGATTCGAATTCAAGATAGAAACCTGTATTTATAACTCGTCACTGTTACCACTTGTGCTACCTCCATTGTCAAGAGAATGATTCCAAGACTCAAACACGACATATTGTTTGATCACTTGTCGCTTGTCTNCTTATAATATTAGTTTTGTTTAATTAATATCTAATGTGTCCGAACGATGTAAAATGTGTAAAAATATGTCACATAAATTAATATGTAATAAAAAAGGTGAACAATTTTACATTTGAAATGACTATTGGACAAGTGTCATATTGAGAATAAGGAGTCGACATGTGTATTGGTTTTTTTTTTTTTCAAAAAAGAACAAATATTGGGAAAATAGATAAGTGTCTTTTGATGTCAACATGCATGCCTAAGCATTGTGACATAAGATGTTTAGTGGCCAAATAAGATTTGGTTATAAGAAAGGGTTTGCCAAGTAATTCAACAATAAGAAGAAAGAAAGGAAGAAAACAGAGAAAAAGATAGAAATAAGAAAAAGAAAAAAATGAGATTTTTGGTGGAAATTAGATGGCGATTTTAGTCCTAAATTCTATAAAATTGGTATATGTTCTTAATCTGGTGGTGATCAAATTTATCATCATCATTTGGTGAATTAAGATAAAGGGTAATACACGATATACCAATATCTTTAAATCTCTTTATAAAGAGTGTCCTATTTGTTTATCTCAAAGTTTGTGTTCTTATTTGTAATTTTTGATTGATATGAAATTCTATATATTTGTTATTTAACTTGTATCTTGTGTTAAATATTTTGGTATTGATTGGTACGTGTACAAAATTTGCTTTGGACATAATTTGTGAAATATAATTATAGCCCTATAGGGTAATTGTTTGATTTGATTATGGCCTTGTAGGGGCATTATTGTTCGATATGAGAACAAATTTATATGCTAAACTGTCACTTGTCATATCATCAAAACTAACCAAATATAAGGTTATGTTCGATAGTAATTNGCCGTTATTAAAGAATAATGTTATTTAAATTTAAAATTTTAATATAATTTATTGACATAATGACGTATTTTTATAAGAATTATTAGATCAACACCAAGTTTCAATGTTTGATTGGACCTACAGTCAATCCAAATATCACAATGAATTATGTCAATAAATTATATCAATAAATTGCGCCTCAATAGCATTGCTTGATATTAAAATTTAAATTTCTATATGTTGTCATGTATTCTATGAATTTAGATTTAGGTATATAAATATCAATAAATTATAGAACAATATAAATTAAATATACATGTGATAACCCAAATTATTAATTAGAAAGATAACTATAGTTTTATATTTTCAAAGTTTATTTTCATAAATTTAAAATAAATAAATNACCCCCAATCCATTTCTCCCTCGCCACCCTTTCCAACTTTTGCAATATAATTCTCCGACCATTTCCATCTCCTCCCCCATATCCATTGATCTTTCCCCTCTCCCCACCTAACCCTTCCACTTGATCAGCCCCCCTACCAATGATCCCTCATCCCCTTCCCCTTTTTCCACCAACTCACTGTTGGTGATAGAGAGAGAACAAAGAGNATTATAATATTAATTTTGTTTAATAAATATCTAATGTGTCCAAACGATGTAAAATGTGTAAAAATATGTCACATAAATTAATATGTAATAAAAAAGGTGAACAATTTTACATTTGAAATGACAATTGGACAAGTGTCATATTGAGAATAAGGAGTTGACATGTGTATTGGTTTTTTTTTTTTTCAAAAAAGAACAAATATTGGGAAAATAGATAAGTGTCTTTTGATGTCAACATGCATGCCTAAGCATTGTGACATAAGATGTTTAGTGGCCAAATAAGATTTGGTTATAAGAAAGGGTTTGCCAAGTAATTCAACAATAAGAAGAAAGAAAGGAAGAAAATAGAGAAAAAGAAGAAGGGGGAAAAAGATAGAAATAAGAAGAAGAAAAAAATGAGATTTTTGGTGGAAATTAGATGACGATTTTAGTCCTAAATTCTATAAATTGGTATATGTTCTTAATCTGGTGGTGATCAAATTTATCATCATCATTTGGTGAATTAAGATAAAGGGTAATACACGATATACTAATATCTTTAAATCTCTTTATAAAGAGTGTCCTATTTGTTTATCTCAAAGTTTGTGTTCTTATTTGTAATTTTTGTTTGATATGAAATTCTATATATTTGTTATTTAACTTGTATCTTGTGTTAAATATTTTGGGATTGATTGGTACGTGTACAAAATTTGCTTTGGACATAATTTGTGAAATATAATTATAGCCCTATAGGGTGTGATTGTTTGATTTGATTATGGCCTTGTAGGGGCATTATTGTTCGATATGAGAACAAATTTATATGCTAAAGTGTCACTTGTCATATCATCAAAACTAACCAAATATAAGGTTATGTTCGATAGTAATTGAGTTATGTGAGATGTCGAAGTTGATTTAATTGTTGTCATAACATTTATTGAGATTCACTACCTATTCAGTAGTTGTGATTATTGAAATCGACAAATAATATCAACATCATAAGTCCAAATAACATTTCTTATGATATATTATACATATAATTAGGGAGAGAGGGATTCAATTTTTTTTTAAAATCACCCTTCTACCCTGATAATTAATTTTCAAAATTTTAATTTCTTTTAAAAATTATGTGTTACCCTTCTAATTATTATAATTATTATTCAATATCCAAACAGATGGATAAAGAGAGAGATCAAATGCTATCCCCCAATCCATTTCTCCCTCACCACCCTTTCCAACTTTTGCAATATAATTCCCCGACCATTTCCATCTCCTCCCCCATATCCATTGATCTTTCCCCTCTCCCCACCTAACCCTTCCACTTGATCAGCCCCCCCTACCAATGATCCCCCATCCCCTTCCCCTTTTTCCACCAACTCACTGTTGGTGATAGAGAGAGAACAAAGAGAAATGAATGTTGTTTTTCTTTGTTTTTGCCCGAATTCATTACAATCATCCGCCTTGGGCACTGTTACTGTCACAGCCACTATCACTACTTCCATATAGGTAAGTATGCAAATAATGGAAGAGTGAGAGGTCTGGCCTCAGCCTACTCCAAGCTAAGGTAGTAATCAATAGAAAGAGAGAACAACAAATGAAATTTTCAACCCTATCATTGCCGCTACATGCACTTTATCATCTTTAGGGCAGCTTAACGTAAACAGGGCCTTAGGCGAAGATTTTATTCGGGCCCTAGTATTATTTCATGTATTAATATATATATATATATATATATATATATATTTTTTTTAGTTTTTATAATTTAATTTTTTATTTAATTAAAAAATATTTTTCTTATTTTTTGAGATGCAAAAATATTGATGAAGTTTTTATATTCAAGTTTTGTCGATAAATCTTTATCAATTGATAATGTATCTAATCTATTCAATTTTTTTTGTGACATAGTTGACCACAAATAAGATTTTATTAATTTAAAATTTAAAATTTTCATTTTTAATGAAGCAATTATTACAAATATTGTTAAAAAAATTTTAGAAGCAATATATGCACTTGAAAAAAAATATAATTTTTTTGTGTAATATAATATTTCAATTAGAGTGTTGGTTAAACCCATTGAAATTTAGTTTGGACTTAGAGTTGGATTAGATTTCATATTTATAATAGGAATTTTCTTTTAGGGTTTTTATTGGGCTTAACTAAGTGGAGAATAATTTAAAACTTAACAAAACTAGACATTGATTTGCGCTCTTAAACTAGACTGGAGTTTATATTTAGTCATTTTTTACTCAAATTTATATTTAAGTAAGTATTTGAGTAAGGAGTTGAAATGACCTTACTAACCTATACCTAGGGCTGACCCTGCACATGTGCCCACCACTACCACTACCACCACCCTTCCAATCCAAGTCAAATAGTGTGACTAATATTTGCATTTGTGATAGATGAATTTTCGGCAGATGGAGATTGGTTGGTATTAGATTTTTATAGACAATATAACTCGGTTAATGGGTGATGTATATTTTGATTTATGGTTTCAATTAGAATCAGATTAAATAATGTTTGAGGATTCATGAGATTTGGTAGTGGGTTCGTGATGGGGTGATGATTTGCTAGCATTGGTGCACTTAGGGTGCTGTGCCCTATTTTGGTCAAAATTATCTAAAGATTCAATTGGTAATGCTAATTTGCTATTTACTGGATTTATCTATTCAAACAAGTTCTATACAATTAGGGCAAACAGAACTGGAACAATGTGTCGAAAAATTTATAAATTTGTTAGTAATATTACTTAGAAATTTATGGAAAAGTTTTATTTTGCACCCTAAAAGATAAAAAAAATTTTAATTTGCTCCCAATTAATTAATTTTTTCATATCACCCCTCAAAGAAATAAAATGTGATTCACCGTCTTATTGCCGTCTATTGTGTCAAATCAACCAATCAAAAATTATAAAACAAACAAACCATCAAATGAAAATAAGGTGGTGAATTACATTATAATATTTTTTATTTCTTTGAGGGAACAATTTGAAAAAAATAATTATTTGGGGGATAAATTAAATTTTTTTATATCTTTTAGGGGGCAAAATAAAATTTACTATAAATTTATTTTATGATGAAAAAAATAATAGTGTAACCTTTAGTTCAATGGATTGGATTAGGTTTTAACTACTAAACAAGAGATTGAAAGTTCGAGTAACTCGAGCCTAACTTCGTACCATAAACAACTCTGGTTGTCTCAAACCTAAATATATGATCAATATATTAAACTGAACTTGAACTAGAATTTAAACTCAGCAACGGAAATTGGGTAGTTGATAGAGAAGGGCCAAATATGTGCACATCAAAGTTCAAATGGCTAAAGTTTTTGGATTAGATTGCTATATTTTTATCTGATTGAAGATGAAATGTGAGAATTTTAATCTTTTCGGGTATAAATTAAAAATTTTAAAATCTATCAAGGTGTAAAGTGTCATTCATCCAATAACTTAAAGCATGTAAAATGTCAACCCAAAGACAAAGAACTGAATTGGTATATGATTTACATGTGGGAAAGTTAAATAAAAGGAACGATATAGTCTTGATGCATTGAGTTCCACCCTATTATATACAAGAAAATACAAATATACCACTCTAGCCAGTATCATCATCTTATTCAAATTATCAATACCAATAGATCTACTTGAATCCTATCGTACCATCATCGAAACTATTCATTCCTTACCGATAAACGCCTCCGAACCTTGCTGTTCAGTTGGGGAAAGGTAGGCTGCAAAAGATTTTCATGAGAAGAGTTAGACACATAGCCTTCAGCAAAAGAAAGTCATTGTTGGTTTAGCAATACAAATCAAGACTTCACTGACAAACATCAGAAACCCTTCAGCTCACCACAACCAGTTAGTTAAAATATACATTTCAATTTGTTGAATAGGGGACGTGTCACAAACCCACATAACTCGAGTTCAAATCCATTTCCTCCATGCAAAATTCAGATTTAACCAATGCATGTGGTTTAGTAAGCAATAATGTACATCCCAAGTTTATAATAAAACCACGAACTCAAAGATCACGTTCTTAGGTTGATTCTCTGTTATCAAAAAATATATATATATCCTATAACCCGAACTTTAGGAGCAGAGGATTCGTTTAGGTCAACTTCAAAATGAACCCTAATAATCTTACCCCAACTTGAGGGAAGTGTCAAAGCTATTGCAGCCCTGAGGAGGATGAACTGAGACACAGTAGTTGGTGATTGACCATGATGAGTGGCCTTGTGGAAGAGCATTTGTTTCACCATGAGATATGTCCACAATCTGGAATCAGAAATTTAAATCAACCTTTGAACAAAACACAATAAAAATTTAACAAGAAGGAGAAAAGAACACTGAAACTCTAACTTCTTGTCTCAACCGAGCATTCTCTTCCATCAATTGGGCTTCCTGCTTGTTCATTAAGGATAAATAGAATGCAAGTTAGCCATGATGTGGGAATGAGAAATATGATGCCTCATGGGCTGTTAAATGAACCGAGCAATTCGAGCACGGTTCGGGTATTAGGGAATGGATTAAAGATGATCAAATTTTAAGCTTGTGTTGCACAGCTTGGTCGGTAGTTTCATGGTCAATTTGTTTATAAACGTCGACATATGTACCAATTGTTTTGTTGTGAAAAAGAACGAAATAGCACTATTAGCTTATCAAATAAATGTCTTGACTATTAATCAAGAGGTTATAGATTCAAGTCTGATTGGCTGGTGTTTTTCAGATTTACTCTAGCTTGAGCTCAAATTCGAGGTCATCGTACAAAATGAATCAAGAGAGACCTGAGCATATGATCAGAAATCAAGATGAGTTTGAAAAAAAATTGAAAATTGAATAGTGATGCTCAAGGCTTTATAATAAACTCCAGCTAAATCTTAGCATACCAAAGCTCGAAAAGGTCGATTCATTTCAATGGCCCCACTATTTTCATACCTTTTATTACCCACGTCAAAAAAATAGATCCCAAAAGGCATACTTGCAGGTTTTCCACTTATATTTTCTGATCATTCAAAAACCGTTCATGAAACCAAATGATTTTTCACTGTTCCTTCCTTCTTTAGAAGAATCCAGTTCCATGATTTCTGTGTGTTATATGCCTTTCCGATTCTAGCAACTACAAGAAGCTAGTTTCATGCAATGTTTATCAGTTGACTGACCTTGTTCTTGAGAGCATCAATCTCTTTCAGAATTTTATCACCCTGAAAAATTTTAAATGCGTTAGAGCTACATGTATTGTAAGTTCATAAAATCATAATAACTTCAACAACACAAATACATCCACAAAACCTTTGTTTTCAGGACACGGTTTAATTTTCCTTCCAGCAACTTCTCCAATTTCATCAATTCATTCATATCAAGTCCTTGGAGCTCTTCTCCCGACAATTTTCTATTTAGGAGAAATTTTTTCTTAATATTATAAATTTGATATTCATATGTAGAAGAACTTTAATGGCAATACGACCATACCTCAACTCATGGGTCTTTTCTGCAACTTCCTTGCTCAACATGGCGTATCTAGTATTCTCAAGCTAAAAAGGAACATAACAGGTTTGTCAATTGTGTAATATATCTGTTACAGTAGCACCTAAAAAAATTGGCCATTTTTGATATTTTTACTTCCTGATGTAAGAAACATGTTGTAGTTGCATGTTTTTATGGCATATTAGCATAATAACTGTCAACACATAAAAATCCATGTGTTTCCAACAAATTAGAATTCAAACTAAATGGTTATTCTAGCTCAAAGAACATACAACAATCACAAGCGTATTTGGTTTAGCCTCATTGTGAGAAAGAAGAGGGCATTCCCTCCCTTTGGAAGTTTAACCCCTTGGATTTGAGAAGAAGGAAATGTAGAACGGGAGCAAAATGAAATAAGGAGTTTCTAGCTCTAGTTTCGGATGAGCTTCTCCCAATTATGTCTGGTAATAGAATAGGGCGGCTTGACCAAGACTCCACTTTTTTCTTTCTTGGAATAAAGAGATAAGAATAGGAGGATGAAAAGTCCTTTTACCGGTTGCGCCTATTCTGGATAAATGATGAAAAAATGATGTTGAAGAGACTTATTACAGTCTTATCTCAAATTCCATCGTGAATATCTTCATTGGTATGCCAAGGTAATCCTTGACTTTTCTATTTCTTTGGAAGATCTAATGAAGCCCCCCATCGAAAGAATGGAGTAAGGGATGCCCTTCTAGGAAGTCTCCTATCCCGCCATTCCTAACCTTAAGAAGGAATAGAGTAAGGGATGACCTTCTAGTAAGGCGCCTATCTTGTCATTCCTAACTTTTAGGAAGGAACGGAGTAAAGAATGACCTTTCTGGAATGCGTTGTTTTTCCCTTCCCGCCATTCTTGACGTTAGGATGAAATGGAGTAAGGGATGACATTTTGCTAAAAAAATGCGTTTTTGTTGTCTCCCATACCCTTTCTGAGGGTATGGAGCCACCATCGCGTCGGCATAGCTGTGTCCGGAGGCATTGTCGAATAGAGGCTCACTATTGAAAGTAATGATTCCAATCAAATCAAGGAACAAAATCATTCCTCAAACAAAGGGATAGCATATCAATCTCAAGGATTAGATCATGGCACAAAAGAAGTGCAGATTAACCATTATCTCCCTAAATTTCTCTGGATTTTATATTCTTTCCTTTCTTGTCTTAAGAAACTATTTGTTTGAATTTCAAATGGTTTTCTTTCATATATTATGCCTATTGTATTCCTTATATAAAGAGAAGAGATTTCCTTCTCTAGTGGTAAGAAAAATAATAATATTCAAAAATTCCATATGGTATCGGAACCTAACAAGATTTGAGTTGTGTGAAAAATTGCCTTCAACCTCTTCTTCTCTATCATGGCCAATACAAAGTACCCATATCCTGCAACTTTGAATGTAGGAAATTTTGCCTCCATTAAACTCACCAGTACCAATTATCTATTGTGGAGAATCCAAATGCTTGGACTTATAGAAAACCAAGATCTTACTGGGTTTATCAATGGTGAATTAATGCCACCGGATCAAACAATTGCCGCCACAGATGATGTGTGAACCACTAGTCAGAAGGTGATCATCAATCCAGATTTTGTAGCATGGAGACGTTCTGACCGATTGTTAAGAGGTTGAATAACTGGCACTCTAAGTGAAGATGTGTTGGTCTTGTTGTCGGACTCAAGTCCTCCAAAGAGGTATGGAACACTTTGCATGATGCTTATGCACAAGATTCTCAAGAACTAGAATTTCATCTTACACAAAAACTACAAATGTTAAGGAAACGTACATCCACTTTATCCAAATACATTCGGAAATTTAAGACTATCTGTGATGATCTTGCTGCCATAGGGAAGCCATTGATGATAAGAAGAAAGTCTTTTGGTTACTTAGTAGGTTGGGGATTGAATATAAATCTTTTGTGACAACTATGCTCAAACGCCCAACACCTTGCTATAAAGAAATTATTTCCCTGCTTCAAAGTCATGAGACATGGTTATCAATGCATGAGGTTCACCAAGCTAACAATCAGAATGTTGCTTTTGTTGCTCAAAGAGGCCATGAACCTTCAAACAAAGCTCGTTATAATAATTTTTCTTCACGTGGCAAAGGTTTCACCTAGCTGAACCAGACTTATAGAAATAACTCTGAATCATCCGGTGAAAATCATGGCAGAAAATCTGGCAAGGACGACAATAAATTCTTTAACTTTGGCTCCATTCCAAAATGCCAAATATGTAACAAAATTGGCCATATTGAATTGAAGTGTTGGCATAGATTTAATCAATCTTTTGTCTCAAATGATGTGCCACAGGGACTTGTTGCAATGGCAATCAGCTACAGTTAAGATCATGCATGGTACCCGGATATAGGAGCTTCAACTCACATGACTGGGGATCCTGGTAAATTGTTTAATTTAAAAGAGTATAAGGGTTATGATGCTGTGATGGTTGGTAATGGTCAACTGCTCAAGATTTCTCATATTGGGGATGCTTTTATTGATAATAGACATAGATAAATGGTTATTAAAAATATACCTTTAGTACTAGACTTAAAGAAAAACCTTTTGTCAGTAAGCCAATTTACAAGTGATAATCCTTGTAATTTTGAATTCTTCAATGGTGGTTTTGTAATAAAGGACAGGAGCAACAAAAACATCCAGATTGAGGGCAGTAAAATTGGAAATCTCTAAGTTTTTAAAAAGGTGCATCCAATAGCTCTTTTCTCAAATCGAAATCAAGATATAAGTGAGAAGGTTTGGCATTGGAGGCTTGGGCATCCTCATTCCAAAGTGATCAGATTTTTGAATAATAAAGACATCATTAGAGTCCATAATTGGGATAATAAGTCCATTTGTGTAGTTGTCAAATTGAAAAATCTCGTAGATTGTCATTTTTGTCGTCACGAATATTCTCTGATAAACCATTATCTGTTATACATTCAGATTTATGGGGTCCAGCTCCGGTTAAATCTCATAATGGTTATCACTATTATGTTATTTTTATCGATGAATGCACACATTTTACTTGGCTATACCCTCTTAAAAGGAAATCACATTTCTTCCAATTCAGATTTATTTGGTACAAAAATAATGATTTTTCAATCCAATGGTGGAGGTGAGTACTCAAATGGGGCTTTTGGAAGCTATCTCATTAAATCTGGAATAATTCATCATCTGTCTTGTCCAAAGACTCCAGAACATAATGGTCTTGCCGAACGTGAGCACCGCAATATTATTGAACTTGAACTCACTATGATGGCACATTCTCATGTTCCTAAGAAATATTGGATTGATGCTTTCTATACCGCTGTTTTTCTCATTAATCGTATGCCTTCATGGGTTCTCGATATGGACTCCCCTTTTCAGAGATTGTTTGGTAAAAATCCCAACTATACCTCTTTTCAAGTCTTTGGAAGCAAATGTTTTCCTTATCTCCATGGTTATGCTTCAAACAAATTTGCACCCAAGTCTTTACCATGTGTATCTTTGGGTTACATCATGAAGGATAAAGGACATCGGTGCTTATGCCCCACATCGAGTAGGATATATATTTCTCATCATGTTGTCTTTGATGAGCACATTTCTCCTTATCCTAACCCACATTTGATCCAAGCAGAACAGGAAAATCAAGCCATATCTACTTTTCAAGAATGAGCAGATCAGGTGGTGAAAGAAGCGCACATATCACCTCCTTTTACTGTGCCAACCCATGATCACGTTGATGGTTCATCACTAGAACCCACCAACAGTGGTTCTCAAGCATCAACTCTTCATGAATTGTTACAGGATCCTAGCGGCCAAGTTAAACCCATTCTAGAGTCAAGTGCAAGGCCCACGCATGCATCAGATGTACCACCCATGTCAGAACTTAGCCCAACATTTGGCACATAAGCTAAATCTGATCCAACATTTCAGCCCCATAGCACAAGCTCCACTAATGATACAGAACTTAGGCCAGATTCTTCATCTCCTTCACAGTCCATTGGACACTCCATGATGACTAGATCCAAGGTTGGAATTGTCAAAACCAATCCCAAATATGCATTTTTTATATCCACTGATATCCCAAAAGAGCCTAAGACTATAAAATCTGCTCTTGCTTATCCGGGTTGGGCTAATGCTATGCAAGAAGAACTCAATGCTCTATACAACAATGATACTTGGGATTAGGGCTGTGCAAAATACCCGATCACCCGACAAAACCGACCCTTTCAAATAGAAAACGGGTGGGTAATATTTATTCCGAATCGGTTTCGGAAGAAAATATAAATTAACCGATAAAATTGGTTCGGCTTGCGGAAACCTTCAAGTCCAAACCCGAAATAACCAACCCACCTGAATAGTATTTAATAATAATATAAAATATACATATACACTCCGGATTTGTCTTTTAAAAAAAACAAAATTATAAAAGCAAACTAACCCTTAGACTTCACTATCTCAGTCTCTCTTTCGCTGCTTCTCTCTATCACAAACGAAAAAACCCTTATTTTTCTTCTACTATTCTTCATCAATGGATCCACAATCGACCACAGAATGACATCAATGATTGAGTAGAAGTATATCTCAACCCTATTGAGCAGATCTGAAAACTCAAGGTCGAATGGTGCCATCAACTATCGAGTAGAAGTAGATCTCAACCTTATCGAGCATATCTCAACCCTTTTTTCTTTGACTAGTAAATTTCTCTTTTATTATCTCTAATTATCCATCTCTTTGAATACATTTTTTTTTTTAGTCTTGAAACTCATTACTTGAAAGCAGCAAGTTTTTCATTTTCTGCTTGAAATTCACTGCTTGGTCTTAAACTCACTACCATCAATTTCTTTTTTCTTTATTTTTTTTTTCCTTACTCTCTAATTTCTTATACACATTTTTTGAATACATTTTTTTTTGTTGGTCTTGAAACTCACTGCTTCAAAGCAGTGAGTTTTTTCTTTTCTACTTGAAACTCACTGCCGTCAATTTTTTATTTTATTTTTTTCCTTGCTCTCTAATTTATTATATACATTTTTTTTTG